TGTGGGCATAAATTCCTGATTCAAATGAGAGGGCACTGCCTCCCTGGACGTTCTTTTCACAGGGAAAGGAGGTTGATCAGATCCTGGAGTCACCCCGAGCGATTCACAAACAACCGCCCGGAGTTGATCTTGAAAATTACGCGGCAATTTCGATTTGACGGCATTTTTGACGATCAGATCGACACCAGCGGTTAGCATCTGTGTTCTCATCAATTCATTACGAAGCCGTTCACGTAGTTTCAATTTTTCAGAGGTAGGTGGTTTCACACGACCCCGTAAAAAATCTGACACAAACGAAGCGGCCTGACTCTCCAAACGACGATAATTCTCGTCAATATCGATATCCTCCAGACATTGTTTCCGAATCCTATCGAAAAGTCCTTGGCTTTTTAGTCGATCGATGATTTCACTAGCAGTTTTTGCCGACTCAGAATCCATAGGGATGTGTCCTGTAAATAAAGAAATTTAGTTATGTGGAAATTTGTTATGATGATCAATGCGAATACTTCAATGATAAAAAAAGCATTTCAGTTTAGTTCATCTTTTTTTTTCTTTTTCATCTTTTCTATTTTACTTCCTTTTGTTGCATATACAAAGATACAATTTTCAGGAAGGGAGAAGCGGCCAATCAAGCGGCTGCCATTCAACACACAATGGGGGAAGTCAGGCGATGGTATTAGATTCCCCGGGGTGATAATTTGGTGACGTTGACACCGGGCGAAAGCTACAGTCATCGAAGGCCGGTGAAACAGAAATCTAATTCTTGAAAAAGTGAAAAACCTTGGTAATTCTGTGCGTGTATAGCGCAATAAGATCTTTATCAAAATCTACGACGGTCCCTGTTTATACTGAGAGCAACCGCCATGATTTGCTCCAGGACGCATAACTGCGCCTTTTGGCAAAAATCTATGAACTGACAGACTGCTCCGGAATTCGTTAGGTCGCTCGAAACAGCATCAGTCGAATATTTCTCACGAACGCCATTAATTCCACATACAATAAAGGTATTAAATCCACCGGAACCAATCGATAACTATCCTCATGACAGTGGGGAAGGCAAGAGATCACCAGCGGAACGGTTAGTCGTAGTCAAACTTAAACGCTTCCTTTGTGAAAACGACAGAAACCCGTTGTTTACCTTAGGATGAGGTTGGCCGCAATTCCAGGAAATGGGAACATTTCGAACGAGTTTGCAGATTTATTGACACGCAGTTAAGCTGCAGTCCGGTTCAATACCGCGCTCAAACTAGCGCCGGGGCGTTATGTGGTTCGCCACTCCAAGTCCCTGGGGCTGAGGTTACCGGTTTCCATCACCAAACAGCAATCAGGTCTTCGTTACTATGTAGGGTCAACCCCGTCTGCTGTTCGTCACACAAAAATGCACATGATAAAACATTACTTTTGGAAGAACTGATAGTCTCAGTCACAGCAAGACCATTATCAACTGCAGTCAGCATAATGGCTTATTTCTCCAGCGCAATGATACAGTCCATTGTGAATGAGATTTCTGAATCGCTCGAAAAACCGCCTGAAGATCGCATGGTTTCATCCAATGCTATTTTGATGTATTCCATAAGACAAACTTCTTTATAACAGACATTTTGTGACGCACAGCCAACGGCGCGGACCCCATTGTCGCATAGACCTGCTATTCATTGATAGAAACCAGCAAACACCCCAAACCCCGGGACTTGGGGCAACGAACCACAAAAACCCCCGTTAGGATGGGTATGGTATAGAAACGGGCGACAGCAAAGCTGTCTACCACTGAAGTTGAGTGGCGGTGGTGGGGCTCGAACCTCGGACAACAGGACCCAAAGCACGCCAGTGACAGCGACTAAGCCACTACACCACCACCATTATAGTATTATTTTAATTTAAATTAAAAATAAAAAGTGGGTAAAAGGAATGACAACAATTTTGTGTTTTATCGTATACTTTTTAATATTTTGTGTGCGTTAGTTTATCGTTTTTTTGTTACACTACAAGTGAGTTACGGCAAAAGGGGTAAACCCCATAATCAGCGATATACTGTAAGGAGGAGGTATGTGGGGGAACATTCACGTAAGAATCAATTTGTTAACTCTGCTTTTGAAAAGGGTAAGGTAATAAGAGCTTGGAAACACGGAAATGGGAAGAATGTTCCATGATTTCGCAATCCTCTGGAAAAAAATAAGATTGAAAGATAGAAGTCCGACATCTGGAGACAGAAACCTGATAAGAGTGACTGACGCCTGAGAACGAGATGGAGGACCGAAGGGGAACCGCTGAAGCGTGTTTGGAAGAGCAGAAACCAAAATAGTAACGATAGAAAAGAGATAGAGAATCAACTGCCCGGCGATGGGAAAACGACTGCGGGTTGGAATTCAAAGAAGGTTCGTCGATCAGCCGGATGGCCATAAGTTGAACACAGTCGAGAAGAGAACGAGCGGAATAGGAAACCCCAGCCCATACGTGACCGCAGTATTTAAGCATCGGGCGGATTTCAGCCTTGCATAAAAGGTTCTTGGGTGTAAAGAAACGCTTTGCGTGGAACAGGAAACCAACTTAGCGCGCAGCGCGAGAGGAAAGTGTAGAAATAATAGAGGATCAACAGAGAGAAGAATTTATGGGAGCCCAAGAGGAAGAGAATTTGTCGAACGAAGAGGCAGAGAATCAAAAATCAATTGAGAAGAATGGGGACACGTTTAAGAGAGAATGAGAGGAGAGAATATTTTAGAAGCACTGAAACACATATGGTTAGTAGAACCCCATGCGGAGATTAGTCTGAGATCGGAGGCAAGAGAAACGCTAATGACAATACGATCGTGATCGATGTTGGACGGAGTGTGGGGTAAGAAAGAGAACAATGGAGAGTGGCATCAGCAGCAAAGCAGCGGATCGGATTAAGGGTTTGAGATAAAAGATTATTAATAAATAAAAAAGAAAGTATGGAACCTTGGAGAACACCGGCGTTCACAAGAAATGGCC